GATCATTATTATAACCAATTAACCATTAACATCATCTTTATACTTTAATATGGAAATCGTCAACATCATCTTCTTTGTTAGTATGATCACCTTCATGATTACTGGGAAGTTTGGCAGTTTTCCCCGTGGACCGGTCGATATTATGTGTTGAGTTGCTGGCCGATTTTTGGTTGGCTTGTTGGTCTCGGCGAAGTTTGCTTCCAGTTTGGTGCGAGCTGTCTAATTTGTGAGAAAAAGATCTGCTATCTGGTCGGCTTAAGAAGACCGACCAGATAGCAGATCAGCCAGATATGATATTTAGGAATCTTAACTCTGTTACAAGAGATCGACCAATTGCCTATATGCGTATCAATTAAAGCAGAGGCGACGGAGCGACTTCCAAAGTGGGGGGGGGGGGCACCAACACAAAAAATGGGCACTTACAAAGGGATATCTATAAGCGAAAATTTACATTTTTTTAGACATTTTAGACATTTTAGACATCGAATAAGATATTGCTTAAGCATCATACCTTGCAGTTAGGTGTAATGGTTTGAAAATTCATTTTTGAGCGAGCAAAATTTTTAAGATTTATGAAGACGCAGTGAGAAAATTGACCTCTTGTAAAGAGAAAAAAACCCAATCCTGATGGGGTTACAAGCACATTATCGACTGAAAAGACATTTGATAAGTAACATCATTGTAACATCTATAAATGCGAGCGAGTGTAGCGAGCGAGCTTTCGGGGGATATTGCTCTAAGTCGCTTGAAATTAGGGGCACGTTTAATGATGAGAGGAAAAGGGGACACTTATCAAAAGGGATGACACTTAATCGAAAAGAAATGGAGCACCCGTCAAATTACAACGGGTAATTATCAGGGGTGAAATGGGGCACCTCCTACACCTTAGAAAGGGGCACCCACCAGGGATGAAAAAGGCACTTATGAGAATGGGAAATGACCATTTGTCGACGGAAAAGAGGCACCCATCATATTTTAATAGGGGCATTTATAAGAAGTGAAAAGGGGCTTTTATACAAATTTAAAAGGGATATGTTCCTTATAAGAAAGGAAAAGGGGCACGTATCATTGTTAAAAGGGTAATTATCAGAGGTGAAAGGGGACACTTATCACATCTGAAAAGGGACACTTACGAGAATGAAAAAGGGGCACTAAATAATCAATGTAAATGTGCATTTGTTGAAAGCAAAGGGGCACCGATCAAATTTGAATAGGGACATTTATCGCAGGTGAAAGGGAGATTTTATGAGAAGGGGAAGTGGCTCTTATTAAAAAGAAAAAGAGGCATATGTTTAAATGAACGGGGCACTCTTTAGAGATGAAAAGAGGTTATTATGAGAAGGGGAAGGAGCACTTAAAGAAGGAAAAAAAACATTTATTAGGAAGAAATGGGGCTCGTGTCAAAATAAAAAGGGGCACTTATTAGAGACGAAAAGAGCACTTCTCAGGAGGAAAAGGGGCACTTGTCAAAGTTAAAGGTACTACTTTCATTGGTGAAAAAGGGCATGAGAAGGGGAAGGGGCTCTTTTTAAATGGGGGCACTTATCATAATGAAAAGGGGGCACATGAGAACATATAATTTGTGCTTATCTGAGTTTAAAAGGGGAAGAGGCATTTTTGTTTCAAAAGAAAAGGGTCACTTATCAAAGTAAAAGGGACTTACTAGATATTCAAAAGGGCACTTATGAAAATGGAAAATGGACCCTCATTGGCACTTATCAGAGGTTGAAAGTAAAAGGGGCACTTTTGGGATACTTAGAAAAATGGGGGGACTGTGCCCCCCCCCCCCCCCCTCCCCCCCCCCCCCCCCTGCCTTCGGGAGCGCCGCCTCTAAATTAAGGTCTTTCAAGCTCTCAGTATTATCAGATACATTATATCAACCATTTTGGACTCCTAGCTATCACACGTATGATATCAAAGCTACTTAAAGTTTAACTTGTGCTTATAGTGTCCTTCTGCATGCACGTTATGTCCGGGTTCTTTGAAGCCGAAGTTTTATAAATGTCTAGGTCAAATGTCTCCCAGCTGCATATTAAGAAGGCTGTTTAAAATATTGGCCTTTTAGTGTTTACCATTATGTGTCTTCTGTCCCATTGGAAATTGGATGCTTGCGACAAAAATTTGATTTGAATACACCAGCCTATTTTTCGTGCGATTGAGTAGCTACATTATTCAAATTCTATTTTTGTTTATTTTTCTCAAACATGAATGTTTCATAAGGAAATACAAGGAATGTCAAATTATACAAATTAGAAACCAAAGTGTCCTTTGTGGCACTCAGAATGTTGCAAGCCTACACACTTCCCTTCCCAAATACTGAAACATGTGTATCAAATACGGGGTTATATTAGTTCTTTTCAGCCACAATGACTTCCTATATACACGTGTTTAATTTAGTTTTGCTGAGGTAGAAGACGTATTAAATCTGTTATTCCATAGAGTAGTAAACAAAACACAATGGTCATCCATGTTATCTTAACATAACACATTGTCTAAATTTATATGTTCTGAAAAGGGGTGCTCATATTTGTACAACTTGTGCATTTACTGTTTACAATTTACTTTGTTTTTACTGCATTTCAAGTAATAGGTAATATGGAACCGTTAATCATCTGTGTTTTAAATGTAGGATTGTACACATATTAATACATTTGTCAGGGTTAATATGCATGCATGACATTCATTCCAATTTCTGTCAACAAATTTACCAAAATCTCTGCAGCATGTTTTACAGAATCAATATTTTACAAGTTGCATGTAAAATGTGTTCTTTTCAAATCATGCTAGCGAGATCTCCCATGGCACGATGAATAGTTTTTGTTGTGCTAGGTGTTCAAATTATTGATTACCTAAAGGAGATCGGATTGTTATTACAAGCATTAATACGAGGGCTATTATGCAATTAATTGCTTGCGTAAACTCAAGCAAAAAGTTTACAAATTGACTTAGATTTCTTTTTGGCACCTTCTTATGCTTTTGCACACATGGTAACAATGGCATCTCAGATCTCATCGCAATGCAGGTGCATGCCTAAAAAACAAAGACTGTATTGGTATAGAATGTTGTGAGATGGATGTGCTTGAAAGTCTGTTTTTACTCTGATCATGTAGGCATAATTGCCTTTAGATTACACAAGGAAATTTGCTTAAATGTCTTCTATTTGTTGGGGTCCAGGAGGGGTGTTTCACAAAGATCCTAAGTTTAACTTATTTCTAATTTGGACAAGAAAGCCGTTAGCATCTATGAAAATATTTTGTAAAAGTTATTTTAAAAGGCATAACATGTTGATTCAAATCATTCATATTTTCTTTTATCAAGGAGATTTCATGTACTTGATGCGGAATTTATAAACAAAAGTTTAAAATACTTGAATTTTCCCTTTTAAATATGTTTTATTTGAAGGCTACAAATGGCTCTCCATAATATTTAAGTCCAACTTAGAGTTAAGTTCAACTTGGGATCTTTGTGACCCCCCCCCCCCCCCGGTATCATTACTTAGTCACACTCACGCCTCAAAGCCATCTCATCTCCACACTGATTCCCAAACCGACCAATTCTCAGCCATTCTGGGGAATTTGTTATTTTGTATTCGGTCTGATGTTTCTCTTGTCGATGTGACTGTGGTAACAAATGGCAATCAAGTTTACAAAATCTCGTTTTAATGTATTCAATATTTAATGACGCAATTATGTTTTGTTATTGATTTGTTTGAGAGGTAGTGTTTGGATGGTAGTAGGAACTCATAATTAACTTCTAGATAGTTTGTGTTCTTGCTTGTACTCTACGTCTGTATGAAGCCTATTTAACAAGCGAGGATAGATGAATCGGTTAACAGAAATGTATTAGTATATCTCATCTATTGTATCAAAAAGAAGATTGTGTAAAATAAATTAATTAATTTTAAATGTTAAAAGTTTTAGAAGGAAATGTGTCTGCCAATGATTTTCTTTCAACATTTTGCGATCTAAATCTAATTTCACTTTAATTCATAGCACTCTTTTAGGACACACTTGAACAAAATGGAACAAGGAGAAAAGTGGTAAGGGGGAAGAGGTATTTATTGATTTTATTCACTAGTAAATTGATAAATAGTTGATAATAGCGAATGATACTTGATAGTGGAAAAAAATTATTGATAGAAATCCTGTGATCCTATGATTTTATACAGTAGTAAATTGATATATAGTTAGCAAATGATACTTGATAGTGGAAAACCATCATGGATATAAAAGAGTCAGGGATCAAGAGGGAGGTACAGAGGGAGAAGGGGAGGGGAGAATGACAGAGAGAGGAGGAGGGATTGGGTAGGGAGAGAGTGAGTGAGGAGGAGGGAAAGGGGGAGACTGATTGAGAAAAGAAGAAAGAAGTAAGAGAAATGAGAGAGAGAGAGAGAGAGAGAGAGAATTGGATTTAGAAGGACATTCTGAGATCGAGTAGTAATTAAGATAATGTTTTTTAGGGCCTTTTAAGATGATATGACGGACGTTATGTTTCTACGATTCTTTATCCATTCAACTAAATGTTAACTTTGGTGGAAATTTCAGTTGGTATTAATTCTTTTTCCAGATAATTATAATCATATCGAAACAGAAATAACGTTGCTAGCTCGATTATCCCCCACCCCCCCCCCCTTGTGCTTTAAAGAGATGATTAAAGAATATAGACCAAATATGAAATCATTGACAATTATACCAAATCCGAATAACTGTATGTATTTTATGATAATTATCTTAAGCTCACTACTTTTATTTCATTTTCTTAACAAGTAAATAATTTCTGCCCAATACCTAAGGCCTACTGAATGTCTCAGTTGACTTAATTTATGTTTATAATGCTCCTTTATAACCAATATAATAATAAAACAATAAACTTAAACCAAATGTGACATTTCTCAAAACAATATTTTATTTACCCTTCACCTATTATTATTAAGAACATTGTGATATTAATTCAATATTCGATTTATTGTTAGACTCCTAACATGTGACCAATAACACCGGGTTCCTGATCAAGTTAAACCTGGTTTTCATCAGCGGGAAGGACTTGATTACCTCCTACTCTGGTAGTGCTTCGACCGGTAGTATTTGGATAGGCCCCTCCTCGGGCTCTTCGACCGGTAGTACTTTGATAGGTGGACCAATCGATTGACAAGCCATGCTGCACTCGGTTGAGAGAATGACATCTATGATATGAAAGTATGGTAGGCGAATGATTCATAGAGGAAAGCATTCAAATACATCAATTTCGAACGAAAGTTACTAATCAGCTCACTCTCAAAAAAACCTGCACGATACCACGTTTACAAGACAGGTAGTAAACAAATGTGAAATTCTTTTCGTAGATTTAAACTTTGCGGTTAATATATTGTAGTTAAAAATCATGTAACGTGCAGGTGGGAACTTGATGGTTCCTCGAAGTTTTAAAATACGAGCGTTTTATGTTTAACGGCGGTTCTAGCTATTCGAAGTTACGTTCCGTGCCTACAAAATAACTTCAAGGGTGAACAATATCGACTGTAGTTTGAAAGATCAGGCTGTTGTTGTATCGGGGCCATGTATAAACGTATAGATTCAAGTTTAAAGATAAGACGACACCATACACACATACCTGTAGGTGATATTGGATATACTTAAACGATCAGTGCCATCGTACATTCTTTGACGAGATAATTTTAAAAGCTGACTATTTACCTGGCGCGTAGTAGTCGTAAACCTTGATGAGACCGGGCTTGGGATCTGTGACGTGATGGACACGTCTAACCTCCAGGTCAAAGCACAACAGTGTGGCGGTAAACTGAAATAGAATGAAAGAAAATATGAAAATATGATATAAGTGTAATGATAGAACTAAAAAAGTTTTGGTAATTTCCGGAGACGCAATACTTAAAATGGCGTCGAGGTAATTATTTACTCTAAAAAACGATCACAAAGACTTTCGACATAATCACCCTGTAGCGATTTCAAATACTGTGTGAGGAATTTACAGTGACATATTGCATATGCTGAAAATGATTTCTGAAGGCATTATAATGATGATATTGCTCTTCATAATGTTGCTTTCTAGGAAGAATTGAATACAGTTTAATATGCCATACAGATGTTACACTTATCAATATAGACCTTATTGGTTATTTTTCATTACTATTGCAATCCTTGCCCCCCCCCCCCCCGAAAAAAAGTGTTCAAAAACAAATCCCGATAAAACTACATTTAAACTTCTTAATAACCCAAAGGCATAGCAGTTTTGAATTTTCTTATTAGATTAATCAGTTTACCCTTTCCCAACAATGAATATATTATGTTCCAACCCTTCCTTGTTTGAAGAATAAAGTGTTCTTAAATGAACCATTCTGACAATCGCTAATTTTGGCACAAGAAAAAGTGATTCTATATATTAATTATATTTATTTTCACTTAAGAGGCTTTCACGATTAGTTACTATTGAATTGCTTTTAAGAACTGCACAACGTACTGCATTGGAAATCATTCAAACTTTTCTGTGATTTCTGCCCTTTCTACTAATGTATCTAAAGCATAATCATAGCATACACTGCATACTGCTAAGAGTAGGAAGGGTAGGACAGATAGATACCTGGTTGAAATACATGGCGACCGTCTTGCCTCTATATTCAGCCCTAGTGAGTTCTGGGTAGAACCCATTCCTCAGCAAATTAAAAGATTTTTGCTCAGGAACGAAACCGGTAACTAGCTTCACTTCGACCATGGCCATGTTGGAAAATCCATCATCACCGAGATACCTGTTAAAACGACACATTGTCTTGTTTAGTTGGTTGGTTGGTTAGTTAGTTGGTTGATTGTTTGGTTGGTTGGTTGTTCGTCCGTTCATCGGTTAGCTATAATTAGTTAGTGGAATGGTTGGGGTTGGTTGACTTCGGTCGGTAGGTTATGTGTGCCGGTTAACGAATTTAGTTTTTGACGCGTAATATTTGGTTAGTTAAATTCGGTTTCTGGGTAAGTTTGATATCTAGATGGTCCGCGGGTGGGTAATAGTTGATTTGGTCGAAGTTATAGTTCGTAAGGTAGATGGTTGATTAATTGGTTTGTTGGTTGGTTAGTTGGTTGGTTGGTAGGCCGTCCCGTCGTCCCGTCGAGGCGGCTCGAGGGTTGGTTGGTATTGGTTGTTGATTGTTATTTGGTTGGCAGGTGGGCCGGTTCATATTGTAGGTTGGTTGTTTGGTTGGTTATATCTCGTGTTTTTTTTTCTCCCGAAGTATTTATTTCCGAAACTGACATAGTGTTCATATTTCAGAAAATTTAAATGAACTTCGTAATTCCGAACAACAACAAATCCGAAATAGGATTAGTTTTTCATCCAAAAGACGAACGACATATTGATATAATGCTAAAATTAGTGTTAGACGATACAAACGTATGAGTTATTGAATGATGGAACAACAAGTCGATCAATAATTATTCGATTGATTTATTGTCGTTTGTTTAGTTGATGACGGTATATATATAATTTAAGACCTAAACGAAGGATCATTATTATATTGCTCTTTAAATTCATCTTAACTCTAAGATGATAATGTTTCCAACTTTATTTACCTCACACACACATTGAGATTAAAGCTTCCCTGGCAGGCGTCTTGTTGCGTCGTATGACCCACGTTATAAATGATCTCGAAGGCTGGTGCGGGAGGGAGAGCCGGATGAATGTTATATCGGATGATCACCTGATAATGATTTGAACGAAAACGTAAGCAAAGAGAAGTATTGTGTAAGTATTACAACTGACGGGAATGGAGCGAGAATATTGAAAACAAATTTATTTAGTGTGGATATTTAACCTAACATGTGGCGTTTTGTTTTCGGATTTGTTTTCGATGTTTTTATGTTTGTTTATTTGTGTGTTATGTTTTTGTTTCTTAGGCGAGTATCCAAAACTCCAAAATCCAAAACTTGGATTAGGCGAAAAATCCTTTCAGATGATTTGTAAACATGACAAAACTGTCCAGTGGATAGTGAAAATACGAAGAATATGCCTTTTAACTCTGATTATCTCTGCGGAAGTTGTAAACCATTGCTCTTTACGTTTAATATACAAGCTCCCACTAAGGACAGATAGTCCTAAGCATGGGAAATGATGAAGAATACGTGTTTTCCCTTTTAACCCTGCTAGGTAACCAAAGGCTAAATAAACTAAGTAAACTTGAGATGGCCACAGCAGCGCTGCTAGCGCTACCTGACTGAAGAAGAAGATATTGAAGGAAGAGAGGATACTCGATGCTAAATTAATGAACGTTTAACGCAAATTAAGCCTATATGGATAAACGTACTGTATCGAAACCTTGTGCGGGTCCCCCTCAATCTCAATCTCCCCCCCCCCCCCCCCCCTCTCTCTCTCTCTCTTTTCTCCATAGGTTCAAGTTTAATCTTTCAATCAAATTCCATAATTCGGGTATTATTGGTCTTCCTTTGCCTTGGTTCCCCCCCCCCCCCCCCCCGTTACAGTCATTACCTACATCAAATAAAATGAACTTTACCTGGAGAAGGGCACACCCTTCGCCAGTAGCGATGACCACGATGGCCTTTGGGAGTTGGTCGATGTCGGCCCGCTGGAGAACGAGACGATTTCCATCATTGATGACGAATATTGAGTTCCACAAACAATGCTCCTTGTAGCTGAACGCAATACCCAGGTTTGACTCGCCGCCGAACACAAGACGGGCATACTCAGCGAGAGCGTGGATGGCGACGACGGTGTCCTGGGAAAGATAGGGGTTTCGAAGAATATTCTGAATAGTTGCATGATGTTCTTCTTTCATTACTTGGATTACCATTCAGCATGAGAGAATGTAGTGACTATATTAACCAAAAGCTATCTTATATTATCTAAATAACTGCTCTTTAAAAAATTAAGTCATATTCTCATAATAACTCTCTGAACATTGCTTCAAGTCTGTTGGGGATATTAACTTTTAATCTCAATACAACATATCCCCCCCCCCCCATTTTTGTTTTCTTTCAGCTGTTCAGCTACAGTCTTCGTCTGTTGTGTGAGATCGGGTTTTTGCCCCTAGAAGTTTGATTAGAAATGGGTTTAGTTAATTGTCAGGGGGAGGGGATATTACGGTAATAATTCCAAATGCTCCTTGGAAACGCACGAACAAAAATTATCCCGATGAGTTAAGAGGTTTGATAAGGATGGAATATTTAAATAGTGCTTAAAGGTAATACAAAGTTTTGGGACATTTTGAAAATTGGGTTGATAGTGATTCTTTTCAATTTTGATATATTTGGATGCTCCTGTGGATGAATTATAAGCACTAGAAAATTTAGTCCCTAAAACGCTTCTGCTTTCGAGAAAACTTGAATATAAAAATTTACCGGTGCTCCCGGTAAATTTTGATAAATTTCAAATAGCGCCTACGGCCGTACAATAGTTGCTGCGACCATGAAAATCTCAGAAAATGTAATTGTGATATAAAATTTCCAGACGGGAATAGCTAATCGGTCGATTTTAGTCAAGAAGCATTGTTTTATAGCTTAATTAATATCTTGGCCTTGAGAGGGAGCTATACAACATAAAGAGTTAATTATTTACAATTTCCTAACTTTAGACTCGATTTCAACCGCGATAACGATCACTGAATATTGTAGGATCGCATATGCTTCCATTATGTTCATTTGAACCAAATTCATGACCCCATACCAAAACTTTGTATTACCTTTAAATTGTAACAATGCATTAACGTTTCATCATAATTTCTTCAAAATGTTACCTGAGACGATTTAAACCCTCCGTTGCGTCCTTGCTGTGAGACAATCCACTTGGAGATAGCCGAGCCGCGGGCTATGGCGTCATGACCGTAAACATTGATGTAGGTTAGGAGTACGTACGCGGTCATCTCAATGCTGAGGGAGGAAGCGGTTGCACCACGGCCGTACCTACGCGATCCCGGTGTCTGGGTTCGGCTGCTTACCCAGTATCTCACTCCATCTGTCAACATCAATTCCAAAGGTGTGGAAGCGTTAAGATCGTTACTGGAGTCGAAATGCCCGTTGAAAAAGGCCCCCTTTTAAAAACAAAAAATCTCATCTCTTTCGCAGTGATTTTTCTCATGCGACCGTAATTGTTGGTCGAACAGTTTTTGAGCGCCAAGTAAAGCTTGGCTGGAGTGAGTGGGGATTGTGCACACAATGTGTGTGGGTAAGTATTGAATCTAATGACCGGGTTAATTCTATATATTTAAAGCGCTTAAAGACATCGTACATGTATTAAGCGCTAAATGATTTGTGAATATTTGGGGTCATCTATATCATAGTCATAAGCTAATTACACACTGGTCTATTCTCGCTGTTTTATATAGATAAAACCATCCCTAAAGTACACGTACTTTCATTTTTGTCGACTGATTCGAGGTATTCCAGGACTTGAACGACGTTAGTATCCTTAGCTATACTCAGGGCGTAGGCGATGAGGGCGGCAGTGTACGTGTCTTCCAAACTGCCGATAGAGTTGCGGATACAGGACAACGCGTCTTGAATAGCCTGGGTCTGAAAGAGAATATCAAAAACATTACTTCCCAGTAACTTAACAAAGACATGGACATGTAATGTTTCACCATTAGGTACATATAGGTTATCATTTTTTTTAATTTTTTGTACACTATTTCAAGTTTTTATTTGTCTCTGGTTCTATCGGTGAAACCCCTAGATTGTTATCAACGTGGGAAAGTTTAATAATAATATTAATAATAGGAAGTTCTTATATAGCACTTTTCAGGATCGAAGGCCCTCTCAAAGCGCCTTACATAATATATATTACATCGGATCAGGCTTACCCGCACACAATGTATCCACATTCTCCATTCCCTGGGGAACATTCCAGCCAGGCGTCATTTTTACAAGCGCACACCTAATTTAATCAGGTGTCGTGGTCGAGTGGATACGTCGCCGGACTGTCAATCCCAAGGTCCGTGGTTCGAATCCCATCGCGGCACTAATGTCCTTTGGTCATAAATTGATCTACAATTCCCACACTCCACCCAGGTTAAGTAAATGGGGACCTGGTAGGAATTTATTCCTTGAAATGCAGCGCGCAAAACAGCTGCACTGCTAAAGCCAGGGTAATTATGCTGCATTATTGTAGAGCGTGTATAGACTTCTGATAAAGTAAGTGTTAGGCGCTATATACAAAGCAAATATAAGTATAATCTAAGCACATTAGCTTTCGCATCCTACCGCCTACTAATTTAACACATGGCAAATGTAGATCAAAGACTTGTGGTCCACAGTCCGGTGACATATCCACTCGTCCACGAAATCTCTATTAAGTCTGTGGTAAAGTCTTTACCAAGTATTACTGAGCTGTTTATTAGAACTGAATATAAACTAGATTAGTAATACTTGTTTGGAACAAGTATAGGTGGGCTGATCCAACTAAAATTTGAGACAAAATCAAGGGCACATTTAAGATAACTTATTGTCTCAGCTACAACATACTCGAAGTTCAGCGTAAACCAAGCTAAAACGACGGAGATATTGCTCGCGAAAGATGGAAATGTAGAACCCAGTTTTGAGAAAAAGTAATGTCCCCTAGAGAATACACGCAAAATGTGAACAATTGACATGCCACCTTTAATCGCAAATATAAGCCATGATGCCTTTGTCAAAATGAAAAATAGAGGGTACTATATTTGTAGACAAATGTCTCAGCTAGATCATATCAAAATTTGGAAGACAATCGATCAATATTTACAGAGAAACAATCAATTTTCTAAAAATGTGATAACGTTATAATATGCAAATTGAAATTATGAGTTCGGAGGTCATTATGATTACGTTATGAGTTAATTGAGGGTCAAATGAGACATGAACTCATATTTCCGACTCATACTCTATCAAAATATGATTTTTTTTTTTTTGTGGGTCACCTCGCATCCTAAAGAGTTACAATGGATTTAATATAGGCATATTTTTGCCCATAAATGCTATGTATTACAAGAGCTCGCGCGCACGGAATTTTTTGTTAAACGGTCGATAATTCCGTTATTAATAGTCATAAAGAGACAAACATGGTATCAATTTGTTTGTACATGTATGTGGAATATTATGAAAGAAAACAAAATGGCGATTCTATGTTGTGCAATAGTTTTACGCGCGAAAACGCGCATTGACGCGCGGACGTACGCGCACGCGCGCGTTATTTGACCTGAAATATACCGGACGGATATTGACCTTGATCATGATAAATATGAATGAGAAATACTATTTGGTTATGAAGATATGATCATGAGTTGTTTTTCGTAAAATTTTACAAAATGGCGCCTAGATGACGTCATCAGTGAAGGTCAATGTTGAAAACGTTATTGTGCTTTGTACATATGCCTATACAAATGTGTGCCAAATTTGAAGGCATTTCATCGAGCTATTTTAAAGTTATCTTCTTCACAAAAAAGTGGTTAGAAATAAGAAAAATATATAATAAATAATAAATAATAAATAAAGGCAATTCTAACGAAATTATAAGGTGGTCTGTACGTTATACAGCCCACCTGATAAGAATCAATTTTATTGTTGTCCGATTCAATTTTTTTTCTCACGGAGTATGTAGAACTGGTAAAAGGCTTTTAATAAGAAATCCACTCCGCCCCTTTATTACTCTCTGGAAATAATCTCACTTGGATGAAAATTACAGAACATTCAGGAATGTGCAAAAGTATGACCAAACCTAAAACAAATCGTTTTCCACGAAAATGTACGTAATATGACAGGTGTGCATTACTAAATGAAAATCAAAACTCATCTCCAGATTTAGTAGATCTACTTTGATTTTGTAAGTTGTCTCATTTAAGTGCATTTTCGTGTTCTGACATTTCTCTTCCGTTTAGCCAGCCACGATCAAATGCATTATTCATGTTATTTATTTGGAGTTTTGGTCTTTATTATGCAAATTTGATTGCACATGCACATACTGGTTCTACTTGCTAATTCAAAACGGTGAATGCACCACACGGCTTACTTCGAATCATCCGATCATCGCGTCCGGCCTGGTGATCGCGTTATTCGTGAAATCACAAACATTACCCCCGACATTTCGCGAAAGGGACACGTTTTCACAAATGGTCGGGTATGAAAATCGACCACCCGACCCGACGGGATGACACAATGATTTGAAGGAAGCCTACTATACGTACTTCCAAAGGCTGCTGGGCTTCCAGTAAGCTGACGACTATGAACGCTGTCAAAGTCACCTCATCATTCACTCCACCCTGAAGAGAGGTCGAGAGAAGACAAATTAGAAATAATCGTGGAAGATTATGTAGCTTAGCTCTTTGCAGCAAATAAATGAATTAATCAGTAAATCAATGAAAAGTATTACAAAAGAATATTTAAAAAAGGGAGGTAGGGAACATGGCACATTATTCATCAAAGGTGATAGCAATGAATTAAACTGTTAAACGAAGAAAAGGGATATTTAATATTGCTAAATATTTTTTGGATCAAAATGCTCGATTTGTATGCATGTTGAACATAAGATGCTGCAATTTATCACATGAAACAAAGTTTTCCATTTCTTAATTTGAAAACAATATTGCGTACGAAGACTGAAGTCTCTGATACATTATTTTCTCAATTTAGCAAGATCTGTATTTCTGTCATATAGTCGTACACAGGTGTATACCCAATATACTAATACTCCTGATAATAGGACGAACTCCGTAATTGTGTATCAACCGTACCCCCACCCCCATGCACCTTGATATCAACTTGGTTTTCATGAAAGCGAAAAATGAAGAGAAAAGAATAATAAGTAAAATATTTGAGCAATGTTCAATTAAAAATAAAAACAGTTACGAACTTTCAAATACATGTTTAGTATAAAACAAACTTTTCTTGCCAGCTTCTTTCCAATTTGATGTGAAAAGAACATTTTATAAACTTTTCCTTTGTTTAGTTATTGATGACAAAATAGGCTCGTTTCCTATTGGGGTTGAATGAACACATACTTGCAAAAAATCTTAATATATTTAGGGTGAATGTATTATTGAAATTTTTCTCAAGGGAGGATTTATTTTGTTTTAAGTTTTTTTAGTACAGGAAGCAACTGGGTGGTGTCTTCGCAAAATTCGTCGCAGCGTTGGCAATTTGCGTTTGAATGACCGCACCTTCAAAAAATATAACTTTCTTATTTCGAATCGGTTTGTGCTCAAACTTTCCCCGACTTGTTTCTCTCATGATTCTGCTTCTAATGAAACCAACTTAATATCAGGGTGGAGGCCCGCTTCTTTATACCTGCATCTCTTTGTGGATAACGCGACCCTTTGACCGGAAACACCCGTTCTCATCTTGTCCGAGGGCGTTGTACAGCCAATTAATACTGACGTCAAGGTCCTTTGTATCGATGGAAATGAATGGACTGGCCTGAGCGAAGGAGCGAATCACATAGGCTGTCAGCCATGCACTCCCTGATGGGTCCCTGTTACCAAACGCCGAGTAAGACCCACGACTACGCCGGTAATTGAGCTGCTTCTGGTATCCTTTCTGAAAATTATGATAACGGGGGAAAAGTGTGAAACAAATACAAATATGTTCAACTTTTACAAGATTACTTATTTTCTTTTGGGCTCCTCCTCCTCCTCCACCTTCTTCTTCTTCTCCATCATCGTCGTCGTCTTCATTTTTTTTTCATTTTTCTGCTGCTACGTCTTCTCCGCCTCTTTCTTGAATCACGTAGTTCCTTTAATTTCCGTTATTTTACTCATGTATTTGTTTGCAATAATGGATACTCTTTGTATAATTGTATGCATCGTAGGTTTAACACACGTTAATTAATCCATTATATGAATGATTTAATTTTGTTATGAAAACACGTAATTCCTCATCATCAGGTATTTACAGTTTCTTACTATCATGAATATGGTTTAGTTATGATCACTGTTTAATTTACTTCTTTCCATATTCCCACATCTTAAATATTCTTAATTCATCAAGTAAAAAGGGATTTGTGGGATGCTAGGTCATTTCACCCAGGAAACAACCCCTCAGGAACACACACGACATAACATTACATTCAGGGTTCTGTCCTACAGATTTGCGATTGATTTCAAGTTGCGATCGGTCTAAACCAATCTGATGTGAGTATCGCCATATCAATTGCCAGTGGTAGATTGTGTCTACTTGGTTCCTATGAATCAACATTTTCGAGTTTGAAACTGCACATAGTCTTCCATAATGATGAATGTTTACTGACATTGTACACTAAACTCCAAGAACACAAACACTATAATTACCCTCATATTTGACAAGGCTTTGTTGACTTGTGATTGGTCAGCTTGTTCGGTTGCTTGGAGGTACTGGAGCGCGTAGATGTTTGGTACAAACCCGATCATGTTCTGCTCACCGCATCCGTACGGGATCCTGAGCAGTTTGTCGATGTTTGACAGACTATTGCCGAGAATGTCCCCTAGGTTAGATGAATAGAAGGAGATTCCGATTATTAAAACGGAGTAGACTTGGTTAAATATTAGTACCAATCATTTGGTAACCTCAATATGGGATTTGAGCAAAGTCTATAGCCCTGGGAGCCGGAGGGTGGTGGGGTGCTTCAGCACTTGGCCCCTCAAGAAAATCAGTGTTGCTAGGAAATGGGAAATGAATTTTCGAGTGAAAAGACACCAGAAATATGTAATATATATATATTCCTATGCTTATTGTGTGACTGTAAATCTGATAAAACATTGCTTCGATCATCAGGTAGGTCTTTTTTATACAAATCATCCAGCATGCATGGATATACACCATCTCGTAGATATAACCTGCGCACGTCATTTCACAGTTTCTTTGTAATTGCGTAAACCCACCGAGATGAATACTGAAAAGTTGTCCATGAAATTTATGTAATTATGAATCAATTATGCACCGATAGTACAGCCTATGATGCACGGGTGTAGATTTGTTTTTCAGGGCTGATTTGTACCATGTCCTATCCACGAACTGGTCTATTATCAAATTCTGGGTGGAATATATCGAATGGTAGATGGCGTAATAGATCAGAACAGTTCTTTAAATACCTGACATGAAGATAGTAACTCTACCCGAGTCCGCAACATACTCCACCGGAACTGAGATCTCAAATGTATGCCTGAATGTGCCGTCCTCCTCTTCTGTAAAATAAGGGATAATACAGAGTAGCTAATAGATAATAATAATAACGACAACAACAAGAAAAATGGCAATAACGCTAATACTAATAACTGCTTATAATACTGGTACTAAAAGAAAAAAATAGAATATGGTAATATCACTACTACAACTTATGATTACAATAATACTAATGATGATAATAATAATATAAATAATAATTATGATGATGATAATAGTATTAATAACAAGTACATGAATTTCATATTGCTTACATATCAACTCCAAGTCGTCTTACAAATTATTTAATACGCTTTCAAGCTTTGGCCAAGCTGACCATAGTTGCTGAACTCATGAGAAAAGTTCCCCGCGATACCCATTTACTATATACCTGTGTTGAGAGTACCAACTTCAGATCATATAACGATTTGTCATATTACAATTCGTCATAGTACAATTCGTCACTACAGCCTTATTTTGTCCAAAATGATCACATGACCAATGAGTGCTTACCTTTTGGACAGAAGTACAAACTAAGTGATTCCTCCACTTCCTCTCCTTCAGGCTGTAAGGAAACAAACAAGCAATTAGAGGGAATCGTGATAGCAAACTGGGTGGAAGTAAAGAGATCAGTCGAGAGTTAAACAATTAATCTTTCAATTAGATACCTTCAGTCACACCGCCAGACTGACTCCAAACCGACCGATTCTTGGCCGTTGGAGATAATATCGTTGTGTGATCGCTCTGTTGTCGGTCTGGTTTGTCAGGCTGTGGTATTTAACGACGGTGTCGACCCGTACTGCCGGGAAATTATACGATGCATATAGAAATGGCATCCGTCAAAGTATAATGTATTATATACCTGATTTTAAGATTCTTTACTAATCCTGTCTTCTGATTGGTTGAAAATGCAGTCATGTTCTTAACCATGCCCGCTAATTGAAATTCATAGTCATTTTTCCCGGCTCTACCGGTTTATATCCATTTTTCATAGCACTTTTTCCATGGCTGTGAAACGTGACGTCATTTTGCTGCGATCCCCATTTTGGTTTACGTGTTACCGTATAAGTTTCTTTTGTGCGATGACCGATGCGCAATACCGTTAACGGTGTTTGAGTGCAATTCGATTTTGGTCGCTGCATTCAGGCGACGAATCTACCAATCCACGCAGCGCAGACGACCGATCGCCATTTTGTGTACTAGTCTCGATCGCAAAATACTGGGGTTTTTTGTTTCCAATTTTTTGCCAATAAAGAGGCAAAATGGAGGACACAGCTATGCCAAGATTTCAACTTATGGATGACATTCAGCTGCAAGACTTAATCGATTCTGCTGATAGCAAAAATACGAAGTATGCAGTAAAATACGGCATTAAAATATTTGAAGAGTTCTTGCGAAATGTCAACACGGACCTCGGAGATGTAAACAGACTTCCGAATGCAGACCTGGACAAGATCCTTCAAAAATTCTATGCGGGTTGCAGGCAGAAGAACGGCGATTATTACAGCAAGAAATCAATGCTAACGATCAGATTCGGACTTCAGCGTCACTTTCTCAATACTAAATCTGTGGACATTATCAAGCATGAAGACTTTGCAAATTCGTCAAGAATTTTCGTGTAAACGTGTTTGGTATTCCCTGTTCTACTGGAGCACAGCTTGTTGGATTTCATACTGTACACAAGTTATTGTTGGTGTTAATATTCATGACTTCAAAGAGATGGAAACCTAAATGGGTGAGTCAACATTTTCCTTTTTTTCGGTATATACAATATATTTTGACTGCTTTTAATATTCGAGGCATAGTTGTTTCTATAGGGTCTTGGGAAACTCACAACCTGCTATGACCCCGCGGCGCAAGCGCCTTGGGGTCATAGCAGGTTGTGAGTTTCCCTTGACCCTATAGAAACCACTATGCCTCTCAAAGCAGTCAATATATCCTTAATATAATATTACCAATAGGTCATTTTAGTTTAATACATCGTTACTTTGGTTTTTAAGGCTACCTTTATACAGCACTGGGCACTTTAATGCAGTTTCATATTTCATCTTACCTCTACAAGAATAGGCTTGCTTAGTCCATCACTGTGTGTCACATCAGTTTCAACAGGTTTCTCTCCGCATAATGCAGGCTGGTCATACACAACGATCACAGTTGCTGAGAGAAGACATATTTATATTATGTTATATGAATGTAAAATTCAGTTCAGTTCAGTTCTCTATTCAATTTCCAGTTTAGAAAACTTTTAAACATTAAAATATATTCAGGCATTCGACATAATAACGAAAACTAAGCATGTAAGCAATGAGAAAAAGGCTAGGTATATTTTTTCAGGGAGCGTGTGTATGCGCCGGTGGAGGGTGTGTGCGGTGGTGTGTGTGTGTGTGTGTGTGCGTTCGCACCTGTATGAAGGCCATAGATGCAGGCCTCTTTGAGGGTATGGGTTCAATAGATAAAAGATATGTCGCACACAGGCGCGTACGCAGGGGGTGTTTGGGGGGTTAAACCCCCCCCCCCCCCCCCCCTTTTTTTTTTTTTTTTTTTTTTTTTTTTTTTATTATTATTAAAAAAATTAAAAAAAAAAAAAAAAAATTACCCCCATGGCTCACCTAAGAAAGGTGACCTTACCCCCCCCCCCCCCCAGCGAAGTAAAATGTCAAATTTTCAAATTTCGAGACCAAAAAAAAAAAAAAATGTCCTCTCTACCCCCCCCCCCCCCCCCCCCCCCCCCCCCCCCCCCCCCCCCCCCCCCACTGAGCCATTTTTTGCCCGGCGCGATTTTCAAATTTTCCTGAGTCGTTGCGAAATTTTGGACCCGATTTTAAACCCCCCCCCCCCCCCCCCCTTGAAAAAATCCTGCGTACGCCACTGGTCGCACAAGATATGTCGTGAAGGACTTATATTTCACGGCATCGCTCATTATTTCAAAACTGATAGACAGGGGTGCATGGTATACTTACTTTCAAGATCAACGTCCCCTAGTGCTGTGGGTCGAACGTTAAAGGTCACTTGGGTTGGTTCAGAACTGCTACATACGCAAGTGTATTTACTGTTGGATTTCTCCTTGATCTCAAATTTAGCAGACGGAGTCAGAGTTACCGCAACCTTTATGAACAATAATGACAGGTAAAAAAAAAAACGTTATAAATATGGATGGGCGGTTAACTGATTTAAGACGAGACACTTGCAGAAATACACAGGACGGGCGTGGAAGAAGAGATGAGAGAGCAAGAGAGAGATAGAGGGAGGGGTGTGGAGATAGTGTGTGAGAGAGAGAGCGTGTGTGTGTGTCAGTGTGTGGGGGTGTGTGTGTGTGACGGAGTGAAACTAAGGAAGCTGGTTCGAACGATAATATATTAAATAAAATGTTAAAATATACACAAATAAAATATAACATACCATATGGACTTACATAGCAACTTAAATTTTAGAAATAGATAACATAGAGAAGGAGGGTCAAATAATTAGAAAGTATCAAGGGACATAATAGAGTGGAAGACAGAGACGTAGAGAGATAGACTGGGTGAGAGAAAGAGAGAAAGGGGGAGAGAGAGCTCCCAGGGAACGGTAAGGCGGAGAGAGAAATTAAGACAGCGATATAAAGTCAAATTAATTGTATTACGGGCCTTTTTTTATACTGATTATCATAAAGGGCAAAGTGTAAAAGCAATTTTCTTGCTGGACCATAATGCTTATGCGCTCTATCGGGTGGTCCGTGGTCATTCTTTAACCTCTTGGTCCAGTTTGTCTCTTCATCACATTATGTACACATTTGAGAAACGTGTTCTCTCTCTCTCTCTTTCTATCACACACGCACACACACACTATCCCCCTCTCTCTCCTCTCTGTTTCTCTCTCATTCTCTCTTTATATACGGTGGCATTTTACACCCATGCCTTCAATCGAGTCGAGTGGTGAAAAACAGAAAGAACAAACGAGAAAATAGAGAAAGGGCAAGGGAGAAGAAGGAAGGTGGGTGAGAGAGAGAGAGAGAGAGAGATGGAAAGGGCAACGGAGAAGAGCGAAGGCAGGTAATAGAGAAAAGGGGAGAAAGAAGACGTCCAGCTCCCTGCCCCTGATTTAGCTCTGTAGATTCGCATTTCTTTTTCCGAGAAAGACCAGTGCCCCCGCCTCCTACACACCGCCCCATCCCCCACACCCTTCGTTCCGCTGCCACCTCACGCTGCTCCACTGTAGTATCTCTATACGGGCCAAGAAAGCGGACCAGTGATTGGTTATGAATTTGACATCGTATTATTATCACGTACCGGTAAGCACTTTTCCAAGTAGTTGAAGATGTTAATTTGAAGCTCCAGCTCTTCGCCTCGTATGACAGAGTAAGGGAGATTGTAATCCGCAAAGAACGGTTTGAAAGCTGTCACCGAGAAGGGTTTGGAGATACCAAAGCCAGTCGTTGAGGAGATACAGAACCCACTTCCAACCCACTCTGTAATGGTATCAGGGACGGTGACGGTTGGGGATTCCCTAGGAAAGATACATAGATAATAATGGTCATGGTGATTTGATTTAAACGATATTACTACTACTACTATAATACTTCTACTACTACTACTACTACTACTACTATTACTACTACTTCTACTACTTCTACTGGTAATACTACTACCACCACTCTTTCTTAGCAAATGATAATGCTAGAGATAATAGTAATGACAGAAACAACGATACCAATTGTTATTATGATAGTAATAATAATAGCAATAATAATAATAATATAATAATAATAATAACCATAGTTATGATAACGATTATTACAATGATAATAGTAAAATTATACCAATGACATATGTATTATAGTAAGAAATATAATAGTACAGTTAAACATTAAATCATTGTAAACTGGAGGTTTTTTTGCTTCACAACTCTAAAATCAAGATGGAATGATCGAATAATAACATTTTGATGACTACTTTCACGCGTAAGCTTGAATATTCCACATTTTCAAACAAAATTCACCGGGATAATAATATTTTTAAGGGAATAAATCATTTAGTTGTTAGTTGTAAATAAAATTTTAATAATTGACTTTGCAAGGAACTTATCCCAAGACTGTGAGAGCCATGCAACTTTTAACCCTAATTAATTATCCATTATACGTTTCCGAGAGATGTTCAATTTTATGAAACCTCTTAGTATTATCTCATTCATAGTTTGTCTCTTCAGGATTGAATTCAATTTAGAGATTAAAATTCATATACAATAGTCCTACACATGGTTTTATAAATGACTATACCCCCACATTTGTACTGGGGTGAGAATGATGAGTAATTTCAATGTGTCTTACTCTGGGCGTTGCATAGACCAGAGCCAAGTCTCTGGAAAATATTTGCGAATGGCTGGACCTGCTGAAGCCGCCGAAACTGAAAATGCTTGTGCAAAGTCTGGCTCAGAATCAGCTCTCTCAAGCACCTGACCCCGAGCGTAATATGCTGTTTGGACAGAAACATTATTCACGAACAGAAAGGATTTTACTTGAAAATACATGTTTTGATTTGAATAACGGCGCCTAAAGATAAGACTTAACGAGAGAAAGGGCATGAAATCTGCCGAAATTGAAGATGAATGAAAATGTTCATTTGATTAAGTCTCAAACAAATAAAGCTACAAATATTCAGCGGAAAGGCAATGGTAACATCATGACAACGTTCAAATAGCCTTGTATAGAAATAGCATATGAGATTTGTAAGGTGCCGAATCCGCTTGAAAGCAAATCCTCAAGGAGCACTTGTGACACAAACAAAACGAAATGGATTATGCCTTATAAGCAAATGAACAGCAGTAAGATGAGACTTACAGAAAAGAAAGAACAAATAACTATACGCCGAATTAGACAGAAACGTTCTAAGATTATGTTTATACACTTCAACTGATCTGCTATTACCAATCTCTCGAGGGATAGCATGTTATAGCGAAGGTCATGCCCGAGTTTAGAGACGTATTAAATTGTACAGTGGTCGAAAAGGTACTTGGATTGTAAACAATATTTGAACAGTAGCCTTGGGAATCTTTAAACAAAACACCATTGGTCAATTGAGACAAGTTGATGATCGCACTGAAACTAATTTTAGGAAAATGTGTTCTTACCTTAGGAAAATAACCCTTAATTTAGAAAAAAAAATCTTACAGCATCTACACATGATACCGGAATAATTGCAGAGTTTATACATGTACGTCATTTAGTCTCTATCCTTGAAATGTTGTTTTCCATTATATTTCTAATCAGACGTAATACGAGAACATTCATAACGATATATAATTTCCATTATTCATATTCAAAAGATGACACATTTTGTATACAGCACGATATTTATTACATCCTGAAATAAATGTACTATTAAACACTATCGCAAAGACATTAATAATTCAACAATTTCGGTAGCCATACGAGTCACCTATGGAAGTTTGCGAGTAGACAATAAAATATTACGTAATCCGTAAAAATTTATATAAAAGGTACAGAAGGTGTTATGAAATTGGCCTTAAGTTGATTTCTTCAAAGTCTGTGCGACCGTGTTTTTAATAACATGTTACATTTCTTACGATAGGGTTCTGGCGTCTGACATGGACTCGTCTCGACTTTAAGATTAGAAATCCGAACAAGACCCAGTTGCTGGAATGAAGAAAAAGAAGACAAAAAACGCAGATGAAATATTCTGAATTCTTACGTGTCTACAACAACATTAATTTGACTATCAAATTTCCTTCCCCATTTAATACAAAAAGGGAAATTAAGTCGTAAAGATCGTTCACTTGGTATAAGAACGATGAGTTTGAGACGTACCACCTCTTCTCAAACACCTTGATAAAGCTTTAATTAGTAGATTGAGATATTCATACTATCAGTTTATAACCGGTTATTACCTGTTCAAATTCAGGCTTAGCTGAATTAGTGATTCTAAAAGGAAAACTAATAGCTCGATCCCTCTTTCCTCAAAACAAATAAATAAAAGTATACATTGATTTTATTATATACTAATTAAAGCATTACACACGTAGTATTTCGACGCAAAAAACAAAAGCCACCCCAGTCCGCCAAGCTGCCAAGTTCTGTGACAAGAAGATATTTTGAATTTTAGACCTTGGTTTTATTTATTAATATCCGGAGGAGACAATTTGTATTGCTTGAACACCTGAGAGCCCTTGAAGTTTTCGTCCGACTCAAACCGATTATCATGATTAGAATTATCTAAATAGCACGTAGGCATATATCATTGAGCTCTGTGTGAATCATGCTCGTACTATAACACAAAATCCTTTGTTTAATACGTTTTGATGACTGATTATTACTTTGTATACAGAATCTCACCTCAAATTCCTTGGTCACGTCCGAGTATAACGGATATGGATCTCTACGATACGGAGAGAAACCAAACCAAACCAAGCCATCATCAATCTTGATTGGTTCGTCCTCGTGATCCTGGCACCGCGGATTATCATTGTCACCTGACCTCAACTGGAATGTGTTTAGAAAGCTGACCACCTACAATGAAAGAATAGAGAGTATTGCATAACTAACGGCATGCAGCAAGTGTCTCTCCATATTTCTTCTGTGAACTCCTTAATCATACTCGCCAATTAAAAATAAATCACTATTTGGAAATAAATTCTCAAAACGAAATATAATGCCCTGGTCTGACCGTCTGTGACCCCATCCCTACAATCTCCGAGCATGGCTTCAAAGGGTGTATAGGCCTATCCCAAACGGATACTTTTTTTATTTTATTCTCAATAGTGGGCTGTGGCCCCGGCTGTGGCCTCGCCCGATTCTATTTTTAATTTGTAAATATTTTTTCTTACGTCGCTGGTCTTCATCTGGTTGTTGCCTCCTAGAATATGCACGCTCTTATCGACCACTCCGACAGCGCACAACGATCCGGGGGATGCTATGATCTCGATGCTCGTCCGTGCCCCCGGCTCGAGTGTAGCATCCTGTCCTTCGGCGACCTGGATGTGAACCTGGGAACAGAAATGTCAAAATCCAAAGAAGAAGAATACTTCTGGTATTGTATGAAAAGATTCTCGTATTTCTTACGGTGATAATTATGACAGAATAGAATACAGGTAAAAATATCACAAAATGAAATATTCTTTTAATGATCATATATGCATATTTTAGTATTTAAACAAAAAGTTGTTTACACCGTTGTACAAATAAATCCTGGTGCCACATGTTTTTTTTAACCCCTGCACACAGACTAGTGCGAGGTGTTTTTCATGGGTTGGTGATTTTCTCTTTTCACTTTTTTATATCTGGCTTATATGAAATGTTTATATTCCGTATTATCAGTCATTAATGATAGCCTCTTGAAGAAAAAGAAATTTAGACTAAAACTGCATGACCAGTTCCCAACTTTCCCATATTTTCCTTACATCTGGAGTTCTAGATTATCCATAATGGTGTTAAAGAAGCTGTCACGTACCTAATCAAGACCGGATCTGTTATTTGCGACTATTTTGTGTTGCACAAACAATTCTTCTAATCCTATTTGTTCCCACTGTTTTGTGCCAATTGGCACGTGTGGCAAATGAACGGCTATGGCAGATGGTAATTTTGGCAAATGAAAGGTTAATGACGTGTTGGTGGTTACCTCATTCTCAAAGACGGCGTTGCTTTCGATTTCGAGACTATCGGCGATCATCTCTCCGTCATCCAGGATACCATAGACCAGGAGGTCAAGAAACGGGGTCATTAACGGCGTGAGAACAAAGGTGACGTCATAAATGATGCCGTTTGCGTTCTCCTGACGGGATGCCTCGTATTCGAAATCCTGGAGGATGTTCCCCCGAGACACAGCCTGTGATCATGGTAAACAGTCACTCGAAAGTAAGTCCTGAAACATGCTTATTTTGAATATTTAAAATGTTCTAAGAGAGTTTCGGAGGGGAAAATTGTATTCATCATAGTGGTATCTATTTTTGTTTTCTTGTGTCTTGTATCTTAATTAAAATCTACATTAGAGGTGTTCTTTACAGAGGAATAAAATTGTCAAACTTTTTAGTCATGTTAGTCGAAGCAAAAGCCTGATTTTTTTTTTTTTTTTTTTAAAGCTCGCTATGAAACTGACATTAGCCGTGACAGAATGGATTCCTAGCTGTGGTTAGCTGGTGCATAAGGAAAGGCTCGTGGTTATCATCCGAAAGAACCCAGGTTCGACCCACATCTGTATCTATCGACCCAAGGTGTAGATTGTTGGATATCTGGTAGTGCTGGGGGTAATAATTTTGTTCATAGATCGTTAATTATAGTATTTATATATTAATATATCTGCTTTTTGCTGGCTGACCAACGGAACGAGCAGGAGAGAGCCACAGTCAACCTGTGTTGGCACAATGTGGGAGTCTATTCTAGCCGTGTTGATCCAAGGTGAATAAAGAGTTATTAAGAGATTAAAGAGATTACTGCACATGCTCACCAGTATCCTGGGTCCACCAGTGCAATCCTTGGTCATGTGGACTGAAATAAATACGCTGCCGCCAACTTGTATTGGATTGCCAAATTGGATCACCGCTTCGACCTCCAGATAGTTATCGGTCGGGGAGTACATAGGACTCAGACTGAAGTAAGTGATTGGTCGATTCAGGGTCCGGACATCGGGGTCATATGGAATGTTCTCTTGGAAGTCTTTGGCTGTCACCTAGGAGGAAAATAAAGCGCAATGTTAGACGTCATATCTTGTCGTGAGTTTACAGTATAATTGTCAAATTAAACACATGAAAATGATATGTAAAAAAAGAAATTTACCAATGTTTTATATGGATTTGCTTTGCACATGGTCAGAAATTCGATATGTAAATAAATTTGAATTAAAAGATATTCTCAATGAAATACTTTGGAAAAATAGTGATATTGTAATTGATTTGATGTAATTTGAGTCCCCCAAAAAATCGCAACGACTCAGCCGACCGCTGAATGAGCGGGGGGGGGGGGGGGGGGGGGGGGGGGGGGGGGTAAGAGGACACTTTTTTTGGGGGGGGGTCTCGAAATTTGAAAAATTGACATTTTGCTCCCTTGGGGAGGGGGTAAGGTCACCTTTTTTAGGTCAGCCATTAGAATAATTGTTTGTTTGTTTTTTAATCCAAAGGGCGAGGGGTTTAGGGGGTTTATGGGGGGTTTACACAGAAAATTACCAAAGGGGGGGGGTTAACCCCCCTACCCCCCCCCCCCCCCCCCCCCTGTGTACGCGCCTGAATACATGCAATAATGGTTTGGCAGCTTTCTGAAAAGAATGCAATGATCTCGGGTTTCTGATTTCAGGAGACAGAGAGTTTTATATGTCTGTTTCTATGTGTATCTAATTAAAGAGCAAATACGAGCCACCTGATTTATTACAAACAAATGTTGGTTTGACTTGTAGGCTAAAAAGAAGTAAGATTCGCCATCTTACATTGCACCTGAGAGAGTTTCCACTATCAAATCCGTAGATTCCCTGAAGTGGTAAAGTGAATACAGCGAATCCTTGGTCATTAGAAGTGGCTTCTACAGGTGAAGCCAAATCATCGCATCGCACGATAATGCTCTCACCAGGCTTTGAGGCCCCATCGGGATTAGTCACCTCGACCTAATAGAAAGGCAGGATAGAATGGAAGACAGTAGGCACTATGAATATGACGGACAAAGAAAGAGGACAAATTATACAGTTCCTCATTCTACCCTCAGCAATTGCTGTGGTAGACAAAAGAACATCCCTTCACTGCTATTATGTATAAATGTGTAGAACAGGTGGATATGCATGTGACACCTGTTCTACACATTTTTACATAATAGCACGGAAGGGATGTTCATTTGTCTACCTGAGGAACTGTATATGTTGTCCTCTTTCTTTGTCTGTCATGTTCATAGTGAGGCATGGTATGCCTAGGTCACATATTACAGGGCCCCGTACGATTTTCCCTACCCGGCGGCTTGCCGTGGATTTAGAGACCGTACGGGAACCGTCCGATTTTCATTTCTACGGCATGTGTGGTCACATATTCTGCGGCGCCCGGGAGGTGCCCGGAGAAAATTGGTCGAGTGAAATGCAAGGCGCCCGTAAGGGTGCCGGCAGGGTGCCGGCAGGGTGCCGGCCGAGTGCCGACAGGGTGCCGGCAGAGTGCCGGCCGGTATTCTTACGGGCTCCGTCCGATGAGCAGGTGTACCGACGGCTCCTGGAAGGTGCCCTGTCGGGGCCCGGCCTTGTGCCGTGCGGTGCACTGAACTACAAAGTGAGTCAGAAAAAATGTCCTACTTTTTAAAAGTTGTGTTGTTTGAAGTATGAATATTTAATCATGGGTCTCATGATATATCTTGATAGAGTTAACCTCCCAGTACATGTAGGTACCATTTTCATTTGAATCTCTGAATGCATCACTGAATAAAAGGCAATCTTTACAAGACTGCCAGATCTCACTTGCGCCAAGTTACTGGGTGAGGAATAAAACAGTGCATTAAACAAAGACAGTCAGACACGCGCACACGCGCACACACCCACACACACACACACACGCATACACAACACACACGGTGAGAATTGTTTCATGATTACCCCTTTTTTGATTGAGCATTGATTTTCATCAAGATCGCTGGTATAACCCTAAAAATCTTTCCCTTTTGTACACATTCACTACCACCATCATGTCATCATCATCATCATTGTCATCATCTTAATCTTCATCATCATCATCATTATCATCATCATCATCATCATCATCATAAAGCACAACATCCGCACCAAGAGGACAGCGGCCACTCAACTTTTCGTACGACAAGAAGAATTCCCGACAAAAAGTAACAGTTTGGGTGGGCCTTGACGGGAATAGAATGCTCATTTGCGTGCGTGTGCGTGCGTGTATGTGTGTGTGTGTGGATGGGTGCGTGCGTGTGTGTGCGTGTGTTTGTGTGTTTTTGTCTCTTTGGCTAATTGGATAATTGAAAAAACTGTCACGATCAAAACATTATTTTCATCCTAACCTAGCAACTTGGCGCAAGTGAGATCTGGCAGTCTTGTAAAGATTGTCTGATGTTCGGTCATGCATGCAGAGATTCATATGAAAATGGTACCTAAATGTACCGGGAGGATAACTCTATCAAGACATATCATGAAACTCATGATTAACTATTCATACTTCAAACAATACAACTTTTAAAAAGTGGAACATTTTTTCTGACTCACTCAGTATGTGTCCTCTGGTATCCGCACCTCCTGTATTTAAAACTGCGTTGTACATTTCGAGATGCCGCCGTGAGGGACCCGCACGGGCAATATTCATTTTAAACGGCCCCCGGACGGCAGACGCCTGTTGTTGTGCATATCACCCAGGGCTCTTGAGTGGCCGTGGTGGCGCCGTAGGGTACACGTAAGGAACCCTTGAGCACCGCAAGGCGTCCGTAAAGATTTTTCATGAAAATTGACCCCCAAAATCGTGAGGGGCCCGTTCGGGCACCGTACGGAGCCCGCATGGGACCCGTAAGGTGCCCTACTGGCCCTTTACGGGCTTTCTACGGCCTAACGGTCAGATAAAAACGCCGGGAGAATTGGGAGCAGCCAACTCAGCACGACGGCGCCCGTACGGTTAAAAAAACGGTCCCGGCGCCCGTAGGAACTTTACGGCAACCGGCCGGACACCGGCCGAAAATTCCCAAAATGTCTGTTTTTACTCGCCGTACGGGCCCCGGAGTGTATATGTGAAAGGGTGATCAGCTCACATCTCTTTTGTTTCCTTGTTTGTGGAACGTCTGCTAATTCCCATAACGAATTAAAATAGAATTATGGTACACGAATCACATAGACGAGGCCGCTTGCTTGGGTTAATCATGGACTCGTGTCTCATTCCAGGTTGCATAACATATTGAAAGATGGATAAAGAAACAAAACTGTCCATGCATTGTATTTAAACAGAATTACAATAGACAAACTGCCTTTGACATAACCCACTTATTAAAATATTTCATATTCATTCATGTATGACAATGTCATAACATATTTGGTATCAAAATTATGAAAGAGGATGAATTGGAGAGTTGACATGAATAATAAGACTCTCTAAGGGAATAATATCTCTTTCTATTAATTGATGGAATATTCGAGTTTCCTTTCTTAAAGAGTAATACACAATATTATAAAAACATATATAAATGCAGAATCTAGAGTAGCCTTTTTATTTGAAAAATTTGCCGGCAGAAGAAATACAGTATGGGGTGTCGCCCCCAAGTTGTAATAAAATTGTTCGTTAAGCAATGATCTTGAACATACCGCTCCAAAGTATGGTAGTGCAGGCTTGAAGAAATTGTTTTTGTTTATAGACCTCATTTTGAGTGTATATGAACTCAGACGCGATGTAGATTTATCAGTCAGGGTTTCACCTTCAAAGACAAAACACAACTTTAACTCAGTATAACACAAAGAACAATGGGCATCATTATAATTATAAAGGAGGTTAAAAAGAATGTTCCCTCCCGTCCCGCCCCCCCCCCCTCCCCAAGCCACTGAACGAAATATCTGACGACGTAATTTTCGAATTTCCGGGCCCCTCCCCCCCCCCCCCCCTCAAAAAAAAATGCTCTAAAGGATGCCCACCCCCCCCCCCCCAAAGAAAAAAATGAAGAAAAAAAATGGGTCCTTTCCCCCCCCCCCTTCCCCCAACTGTACTGCATTGGCACAGCTGAGCAGGGCGATCCATCCAATGTTATTTTCTCATGTTATCATGTATATTGTTATTTATATGTTTTTATATTGGTCAAATCAAATCAAATCAAACAACACAAAAACAACTTGCGGGATCATCGGACGACGGCTTGTCCTTACACAAACTGTGTACAAAACAAGTTAATGGAAAGCTCACAAGTCATTTTGGAAATTTAATCGGATGCAATCTAACTCCAATATAGGTTCTTATGCATTATTTGTATACAAATTTCCTTATTCCATTGTGTTTTAGATTCTCCCCTCTAAATTACGTCTTTCTCTTCCGCTACGGTTTTTTTTTTTCATTTTTACAATACTTATTTTTTCCGGCAACCTATGATATACAAGCACTGCTTTTTAATAGGTTTCTTACACTCTTCTTAATCTATTATATGAATTGAGAATCGATTATATGAATTGAGAATCATTGAGGCTCATTTATACTACATGTATTGTATAATTTTTTTTTATTTGAATGTATGTCTATTTTTCTGTAAAATGTGGAACAATAAAAACTTGAAACTTTAAACTTTTACCCCAGCCACTAAATTCCCCGGGCCTCATTCATCAGAGATGTAGGGCTGATGTTGTGATTACACTTGTGTGTCAGGTTAGGGTTCGGGTTATGAGTGAGGCTATGTACAGATTCAATACTTTTTCTTTGAAACTAGGGTTAAAGTTAGGAATTAAGTTAATATAGGGTAAAGACCAGAGATCAATTGTCGTAAGAGCATGTGTCGTACGCCAATCATCCGTACCTGTAGCCGTTTCGGTAAACCTGGCGGATACTTGTAGATTTCCATAGATATAGAACTTTCTCGATGTGAGCTCTAAGCGTGTGAGATTAACATTGATAACAGCACAACCATCGGCATCAGTACTCTAATAAAAACAAAGTAAAAAACATCAACAAATCAAGGAGAAACATACGTGATAATTAAAACAACATAACCAAGTTTATAAAAAGATATATATGATTTAAACTATTCGGATAATGCTTAACTATGAATTATCAAGAAAAAATGCATGAAAAAATGCATGTAGTGACCAAATGTCACGATTTTTAACTTTTGTTGAGTTGTTTCTTATTTGTGCATGTGTAATAACGTTTAAAAAGTTGTATGCATTGATTTGAACATGTTCGTTATGTATTGCTTTGCCATTTTTTAAATGGCGACCCCTCGCGTGACATTTTTCCGCTCCACATGTCTGGCTTTGCAGACATGTTCAAATCTGTTCTGGCTGGTATATTAATATATTTGTTTGTGACGTAGATATTCCATTGTTACGTACAGCGTGTATGCTAGTATGTTAATAATAAACGCGTATTTCAAATTATTTTCAACCAATCACGGTTCTGGCTTTTCTCACCACGTGAGCACCAAAAGGTTTTTTTTTTTTGTATCGGCACTAGTACTGCGTTTTATATAAATAACGCCGGTTTAATATTTGTCTTACAAAGGAATCGAACGACTTTGTCCCGCTTTGTCCCCGCACCTCTGGCGGTGGATTTGCCCGCACCACGTCCCCGGACCACGTCTTTCTTTTCGCGAGATTTATTTTTGACTCTATTTTATATTTTTATTTGGAGAGACTTTTTAATCGGCATTACCGTTATATTTCTATGTTTACATCTGTCTCTTCAATTGCCGTCATCCGTTGTGTTGTGTTGACTCTTCGATCATTATCATCGTCATCACCATGATTGCCATCATCTTCTAATCATTGTCATCGACAACCTAACTGAATTCGTCTATTGACTGTTCCATCAACATTGTCACTGACATCATCATCAACAACAACATCATCGCACTCATCATCATCGCTGTCATCATGGTCTTCCTCATTAACATCGCCATCATTTTCACCATTATTTTCGCGCCCATTTTCGCCGTCGTACGTCTGCAACATGATTCCTGACTTCGCCGTGAATGCTGTTTTGGTTTGATGTATTTATTTTTGAATCTTTGCAGAATTATTTGATGAGCGTTTTTGCGCTTGATTTTTGCTGATTGATTATTGTTGTGTTTGTATGATTGTATATTATTTGATCGTGACGGTGACTAACCTCGGGGTGAGTTTTTACTCCTTTGTATAACTTGTAATCCTATTAATTATTGTATTGCTTTTTGCAATATACAGGAGATTAAATTTTATTTTTGTGTTAATTATTGACGTCTAGGAGAGTTATCCGCTCCATTTGCTATTTGTATATTGAGTGTATTTTGTGTATGCCGAAACGATTATATAAACCAGATTATTTGTTTGTATTGTTTTGTTTTAAATCGTCGATATTTAATTATATATTTATGTTGTTTGATGGTGTTTTTATTCGAAACTGGAGTTGTGATAACCTTTAGCCCCCCAGCTTCTCTCAAATGCTTGCATAGAGCTAGTTGTCAACCTTTTGACTATAAAGTCCAAAGTGTTTTGAGTATCACTATAAATATCATTCACAACAGGATGATCCCGAATGTGCATGGCTTCTGCCATTTCACAGTTGTTTGCGTAATTTCCTTTCGAAATATATTATTATCACAAAACAGACAACGGTAGAAAATATTTTCATACTAAATTTGAATAGAAAAAAAGTATTTATTGTTAGCAAACGTCTAAAAGAGGACTGAAATTTGAGATGTCCTCTTTTACACAGACTGTAAACATATTAATCCATGGCAAATACGGGCTAATTTCACGAGTGTGGGGTTTTGATTTGAAATTTTAAATCTGATGGTTCTACACGGATTAGCAATTAATAACGAGAAGAGGAAAGAAATTACGTAATAACGTACCGGTATGGAGAACGGCAGAACCTTTCTAGAAGACCGAGTTCTGGTCCTGTAGTCGTATCGTACCTCGCCAGCAGTGATATTTGCTTGCACAGAGCCTTGAACGGGTTTACCATACGTGTAACTGTCCAATGATAAAAAAAAAAAGCAATGATTGTCAAAAGTTACTCTGACATGGCAGTAAAATGCCCTCAAATTGCGACAGGTGGTGCTGTAGGTAGCTAGAAATTTCAAGACAATGTGCAGAACATCCTTCCCCGCTACAGTCCACGAAACCGACAGCCCATGAGACACACATGGTCGGTCTTGCTAAATCTGTTAAAAGTAGTGAGAACCTCATGAGACCGACGGCCTAAGAGATTGAGAGGCTACGAGAACAACATGCCTGTCAACTTTTGTTACGGTTCACCAGAAGCTGTCGGTTTCGTGGACCTTCTGTCCATGGCCTTTTGGCATATTGCGATGTTTCGTCTTCCGCCAGATCATGGCGAATTTTGATGTCTGATACCTACACTAAAACACTCACGGCATGTTTAGTTTGTATGACATATATATACAAATTGATACAAACATGATAAGAACAATACGAGTCCATAGTGATTTAACAAGTTTCACTTACGTTCCACAAACCTTGACTGTGCAAGTAGGATCGGTGATGAGAATGTACGGAGGAGTTATAACTTCAACCTCAAACCTTGGAAGAACTGTTATGGGAGAAAATAAATCAACATAGCTTCAAAAAGTGCTTGATAATTCTCTTCTCTTCATGATATCATTATACCTGGATAGAATCAAGGGGAAATATATTACGGAAAAGACACAAGCTTGCAGCCTCCCAAACACGTTGTGTTACGGAATTTTATTCGAATGCCGACTACCCGACTTCGCCAGAGACGTCAATTTTATTTGACACAAGTGTGCGTCAATAACTTGTCCTGTCATTGACGCACCATGTGGGGGTGACATTGTAGACATAGCGATTGTAAATGAACAATGTAAACATCGTTTGGAATTATTGACGTATGGGCTAATTACAGGTTTAAATAGAAAGGGACAGGTGGTGACGTTTCTGAGTATACAACTATGTCACGGAATAAAGTAGACACTACTCACCGTACTCTTCAACAGTAAATGTCTGCGTTACTGACTCGGTGCCTCGCAAGACCTTGATGTAGTAAGTTACTTTCGTGATCCCGTCTGGGAGCTCGTCCGGGAGTTCGTGCTCGAGTTCAATCAGCCCTTCCTCACCCTTGACGTCCGTCCACTGGTTGACGCGCTGGCGAGACTGACTCTCCACTATAACAGAATCGAACTATGGGGAAATGGATTATCATTTATTACATTGAGGGTAATCAAAGTTAATTATATTATGACCGGGTACAACAGTGAAGGTAATCATTATCGAACTTAAGCTAGCGCCTTCTGCAAACGAGGCGTCATTTTTACTTGCGTTAATTAGCCTCTCCTCCAAATTTACGGTTGACGGTATTCTTTACTTGACTGCTGACAAAATCATTTGAATGATATCAAGTATGCAACAAAAAAATCAACGGATTTAAGTTCTCTCTGAGAGACTTGAAAATGAGGATTAATGTCTTATCAAAAGGCACTAAGGCATCCGATCGGTTTCGAACCGGGACCTTTCTAGTAAAAGGACCATTGGTCTACTTACTAAGCCTTCTCTTGCCTACTCGAACCAATATTCTAAATTCAACTAGACATTATAGTCTTGTATGTTAAACTATCAATATCAGAATAGATTTGAATTATTACATGATTTTTTTTTGTAGTAAGTAAATAAATTCTGAAATATGAGGTTGAGTTTTGGGCCCCGTCTTATTAAGATTTGCGATTGATTTGGATCAAACGCAAGTCCTCTAATCGGTCACAAGGTTAAAGTCCCCTATCTTTTATGTACATGCTTGCAATTTATATAAATCGCAAATAACTTGCGATTAATCGCAGCTGTTTATGAGGCAGGGCCCCGTCAAGCGATTGGAGCATGAAATAAATGGGAAGAGTCATTGGGAAAAGGCTATTTTTGTGTAGTAGATATAGATTGGCGCATACTCTAAGGCTTGGGAATTATCAACATAATCAAAATGACATGAAAGTGACCCAATTTTGTTGAAAGCTATGACTGTGCAGTGCACACAATAATGTGTAGGTTTATATGCAGCTGGCATAGAGGTGTGGTCCAAATTGTCTAGCTATTTTTCATCAATATAGGGGCCTTTGAGAATCAGTCCTCTACGATATGGAATATGGAGGGATTTTCCAAACTATCATAAATAGAATGGAAAATATTTTATTTTCTGACTTTTGCCCGACTCAACTTTATCTTTATGGTGAACACTTTGATTAATACTTACTGGTTCTGTGACGGTTTTCAGTTCACTGTTCAATGTCAGAGCACGGAATCTCACTGGGAAAACAAGAATATCATACAAAATGCATGCCTGCTCAATATAATTAAAGAACAATCATACACAAAACAAACGTGGATATTGATTTTTGTTTTGTCATTGTCATGCATAAATGAATATGAAATATTTTAATAATAATATGAAAGAATAATTATGTAGGAATTTGTAAAATTACAAAGTTCTTTTTTAGCTCCATGATAACCCTATTAACACCAATATAGATTAATCTTGTACGGGAAACAGTATAATCTATTCCATAACAAATACAATGTGGCACGTGGAGATAACTTGTGTGGCAACGGGTTAATCTTATGATTAGACACTTACCTGTCTGACCGGGTTGGTAAATGGGTTTGTCAGTCTGGACGTATGTTTTCGACCCGCCTCGGGCCTGGATCCTCACGAATCTCTCTTTCGTGACTTCATATCCGTCCTCGTTCAAGTCTTCGGCTCCCTTTCGTCGCAGTTGAAGACGAACTTTCTGTTTTTGATTGGATCCCGACTCGATCGTTGGTACCTGAAAAGAGTAGGCATCGACTTATAACTTGTTTATCATGGTCGCAAAGACTGTCATGAAATCAACTTTAATATTAAAGCGTCATTTCAAAACCCTATAATTATTTCCCCTATATAAATGATCGCATTATGTGATAATATATTTGTCATGTTCGCGCATTTCAATTCATGCAATATGTGACTTGATTTTGTTTTCTTTTTTTCAATCATGTTGTATACAACTGATGAAACAATGAATCTTTTGCACCCCTCCCCTTCAATCAACGTCTATTTTACAGGCAAGCATAAATTGCGTTTAGTAACTAACATAACGACGGACACATTCCAAGTGTTCTTCGAATTGATATATTGTTACTCAAAAAGACAATCTATGACTTACATCAAATTCGAAACAGTTCTCTCCTTGTTTGGCCTCCTGTTCTCCATGACTCCAGTATTCTTCGTATTGACCTGCATTTATCTTCTGGAGAGACACACGGTAGTCCAGGACACCGTCGTACTTGGTTACCAGGAGACATATCCTCTCTTTGGTTTGCACGTAGAACAGTTTAGGGATTAGGAAGAGGTAGGAGATATTCTTGTTGAAATTCTCTTCTCGGAGTTCCTCAGGGCTGGGTGGTAGTGGTGGACTGTAAATCGAAAATAATTGAGCTGAAGAATTATTTCACCCATTCACCTGTCTGTCTTTCACCTTTAACACTTTCATTTCACCGTATTGTTGAGCATGAAGTTTGCTTTAATAACTTCGTATGGGGTACACATTTTTTAGACTAAATTATTTTCTGGTGTCCGCTTTGTTTCTGAATATTCTTTCAGAGCATATAATTACTTTTGTCATGTTTATATGACATCAACATGTGATTGTTATAATCAAAAGTGGACTAAATAGCAAACAATTTACTGCACTTGGCCTTTGTAAAAATTATTATCCTCGACACTTTCATATCCATCCTTTTCGCTCGACTGGCTTCAAACATCTTTAATGCTACCTAAAGTCAGCTTGGTCATGCTGGAAGTGCGGCTCAAGCAAGTTTGCAGGCAAGACGAATATGAATCTTGAGGCTAACATTTTGTTGATAGAAAATGAAATATGCCAGAAGACTATTTGTTAATCAATTCTGTTTTTGTTATTTTTTTCTTTGCGGTTTTTTTCTGGGAAATTGTCATATTGCCTCTTTTCATTTACCCCCAACTTGTCTGAAAGACTAAAAGTGAAAAACAAAAAAAATGGAACTCCTTTGCTACTTGTCTATACATCAATCTTATGTAAAATTACATAGTATAACCGTGAACATGAAACGAAATATGAATGTAAACAATCGACCCTTAATGCAAGTTCGTTAAATAGATTACTCTTTTAGAAAAAGAAAAAAATCCTTGTTATTATATACTTTAAAAGATTAATAGTAGACTCATGTTATAATATGATTGTAAAGTATCTAAATGAATATATCGCAAGGACTTTCGAAAAATCAACTTGGATCGGAAAACGTAATACACCATTGTAATGTTCGTTCATTCAAAAGGAGATGGGCAGGGCAATTATGAATTAAAGTTGTTTTTCGAATGTCTGTTGAAATTGGTATCGATGTATTTCTTAAAGTCTTACGTTGCAATCACTTCGGGTAGTTTTTCAGCTTCTTCGACAATTGGTAGTATAACGGGGTCCACCAGAAGTTCATCTCCATCTTCCTGTGCTCTCACCATCACTGCGATAGTGAAGATGAGAAGACCTACGGTAAGCCTCATCGTGGCTGTAGTCGCCATAGAGTAACCGTGAACCCTCTCTACGATAACAAAAGATATATGAACAAAAAGATGAAAAAAACTGAAAAAGACGAAGGGCGTATTTTTGCTTCAACTCTATCATTACCTTTATCGTGACAACTCGTTTTTATTTCTTCACTTTTTCTATATCCACCAAACGTTAATGGAGTTGTCATTTTTTCAATGGTTTTTATTTATATACATATATATATATATACACTGTTGGTCATAATGGTGGAATATTTATTTTTACCCCAGTTTAGGGAAGGATTTAAAAAAATTATTTATTTCTAATAGATCTAGATAATGACATACATTCTCAGATTTTATTGAATATTAATTTGCGAGTGTTTGTTTTGCGTGACTGCTTAATCATTTGTGTGCTACTATGCTAATCAGCTAAGGGACCTACGTCCTTAAGTCATAATTGACAGTAAAGAGGATTAATGCCTCACAAAAGGGCACTAATATGTAGCTGATCGACACGATTTTTTTCATGGGGCCTCACAGTAACGAGGCCATTGCTTAGCCCCTGAATCATGACTGTACGCAGTGTTTGCTAAGGTACGCGGCCCCTTCCACAAATCCCCCAAAACGAAGAAAATGCAATAAATTGTCAAAAATTCATTGCATTTCCCCCCGGCCCCCAACAGGAAAAATTCCTCTGTGTGGCCTTGCCTTGAACCATAATGCATGGCCCTACAGAGGAATTTTTCCTGTTGGGGGCCGGGGGAAAATGCAATGAATTTTTGACAATTTATTGCATTTTCTTCGTTTTGGGGGATTTGTGGAAGGGGCCGCGTACCCTAGCAAACACTGCGTACAGTCATGATTCAGGGGCTAAGCAATGGCCTCGTTACTGTGAGACCCCAGAATAAAAATCGTGTTGATCAGCTTTAATAGTGCCCTTTTGTGAGGCATTAATCCTCATTACTGTCAATTATGATTTAAGAACGTAGGTACCTTAGCTGATTAGCATAGTAGCACACAAATGATTAAGCAGTCACGCAAAACAAACACTCGCAAATTAATATTCAATAAAATCTGAGAATGTATGCCATTATCTAGATCTATCAGAAATAAATATTTTTTAAAATCCTTCCTAAACTGGGGTAAAAATAAATATTCCACCATTATAACCAACAGTGTATATATATATATATATTACGGAAGTGGGTAGCTGGGGGTGTATTGATCAAGATCTGACGAAATTTTGCAGTGATTTTCATTTCAATTTTCGGGGGAAGGATTTGTGGTTTTGCTTTTATATTGTTTTGTTTTGTTGTTCATATTTTTTTTCTTGCTTTATTTCCTTCTTTCTATCTTTCAGTATTCGAATATATGGGACCGCCTCGGAGGGGAACGTGAACTGCGTCACAAATTAATAGAACGAATCCAAAGGCGTTGCCATAGAAATGTACGATCGATGAACGACCTCTCTCCAAGTTTGAAGCCCATGAAGAAACAAAAATCAAGAGAAGTTGCATATGAAGGCTTATAGCATAATAGGCAGTTCTGGGTAATATGCGTTCCGCCCCGCCCATGTCCGTAGAGGATTCTGCCCCTACTAATTGGTTTATGGATCCGCCATTGAAGGAAGATGCATTAACACTTTAAATTGAAGGAACAAATCTCGTTTTCTTTTTTACCTTCACGTTAAAAATAATTTTGAAAAAAATGTTTTGAAATATGAAATAGTTTTCTATTATGCCAACACCTTTCAAGAATGCACTAACGGCCTGCAGCGGTAAGTCTGTATATTGGCATAGATATATCTAGAAATGAAGTTTGAACACGAATTTCACAAAAACAATCAAAGTTTGTTTTGCTTTCCCTCTTTTCTCCTATCTCATCTTTCAAAAACAATTCCGAGTAAACAGGAAAGGTTCATTGATCAGCTACAAAAGCTTTATTGTCTAAAACTCGATATTTCAAATCAACACCTGGGATAATATTGCACGAATGCCTTTAGAATTTCAAGGTTTGTTTTCGTACTGCCACGTAAATTCGGGAAAAAATCGTAATAACGCCCACCAATGTAATAACACTTTACCCACAAATGTAATAACACTTTACCCACAAATTTAATAATTTCACCCACAAATGTAATAACCACTTTACCCAGAAATGTAATAATTTTGAATCAACCAAAAATAGGGGGGGGGGCTGACAAAAAAAAAATCCGCATCACCCCACTCTAACATGCAGGCCCCGCTGAACGTTTCGCAAAGTGGGGTCTAGGGCGGAGCCTCCGAAGCTCAAGGGGTATGGGCATCAGTGGCGGATCCAGGAATTTCTTACCGGGGGGGGGCACAAAATGGCATGGGGTTAAATATAATTGAAACGATGAAGTGACAGAACCAGGCTTTAGCGGCGAGGGAGCGGAGCAACTAAGCAGGGATGGGTCTGGGAGGGGGTTTGGGCCCCCTCCCAGAGTAAGAAGTATTTGCAATTTTAGAACCAAATTAGATGCATTTTCAGGCACATCCTGGAGTAATATGACGTAAAATTGCTTTCTCCTACCCCTTCCATAAGTAGGAATCTTTTGCAATTTGAGAACCACATGTGGCGCATTAATATTCACCGGCACTTCCTGGAAAAAACGAGGCCTTCTGATTGGTAAAAAGTTAGAGAAAAGTGATGATCAACAAATTATTTCAATCTGGACAGCAGAAATCCAGATTTACACCGAAATTGTTTAGTTTTCAGGTTTTGGATTTCTCTTTTACTTTTCTTCAAGGCTATATGAAAGATACCAGTAGCCAGAATTAATTACAAATTTATCATTACCCTTTAAGTGAGGGTTCTGCCTAATATTAAAATATTTCACTGATCATCAGTCAAGTCGTGAGACGTTGTATATGCTTTGATGCCGCACAATGCACAACGACGGTGGTCCGGTACTTCATCAGTAGTACTTGCAAAAATTATCTCGAGTGTATACACTGTGTCGTTATCAGGGGCGTCGCTATATCTTTATCAGTGGGGGAGTGGGGAGGGTGTAGAGGCCACCGATTACCGACAAAACGAGCAACCAATCACCGACAAATATATTAATGCCAATGTCCAAATGTCTACAAATTTAACCCTTTAAACCCGGGGCCAGAAACTAAGTTATTTTTCAGTTCCCCCCCCCCCCCTCCCGTTTGTCCCCTACCGCGCAAAGCTATGACGTTTCATTTCATTATTAGAGAAAGAAGACGATTCATTGTACCGGTCCTGACTCTTAATCCTCTTCTGGGATCAGTTCCCTCCCCCCCCCCCCCCCCCCTCCCTCTTAAAAAATTATTACTCTTAATCCTTGTCTGAATTCATTTTCGCCCATTACGCGCAAAGCGCGGAAGCTTCCACGTTTATTAAAGTCTTAGAGAAAGAAGACGATTCGTTGTATCGTGTTCTTGTCTGAATTCAGTTTCCCTCCTCCGCGCGAAGCGCGGAAACTATGACACTTCATTAAATTATTAGAGACAGAAGACGATTCGTTGTACCGTTCTCGACTCTTAATCCTAGTCTGACTTCAGTTGCCCCCCCCCCCCTCCTGAAGAGCGGAAGCTTTGCCGTTTCATTAAATAATAAGAGAAAGAAGACGATTCGTTCTACCGTTCTCTACTCTTAATCTTGTCTGAATTCGATTTCCCCACTGGGCCCCTTAACGGTACATGTGCAGTGTTACATGATGTAAGTATGGAACGCCCGACAGTGCCTGTCACAGTTGCTTCTGGAAAGGATTTGTTTTACTAGTGTTACTGTTAGTGGCCACGGCCCCACCAGTACGCCAGTGTTATGACCCATAACCTACTAAAATCATTCTTCATATTATCTAGTATGATTATTTCAAAAACTATAATAAAGGGGTAAAAAATAGTATAGTAATAATTGCTGATTTTATTTAATGTAATAATTAATTCATAGCCTTTATATTCAATTCTAAAAAGAACCACCACATATCAAGCCCGCTTCGGATACCTGATCCCAGGGATTCTCACCCATAAAAGATAATTACGTTCTCTTATACATTTAACCCGGAGCGGGAGAAGATCACGATATTGTATAAAGGGGTGGTGGCACCAATTCCATCCAAATTAAGACACAATAAATCAGGCCAAAATTGTTGTTGTGTTTTACAGGTACGCCAGTTTGGTTTGAAAGCGGTCACTTCCTTTCCCCCAAAGACAATGCCAACACAGAGAGTTAGCACTACGTCGGAAAGATTTTGTTTTGAGTGTGAATGGTGGATTATTATCATACGGGTGCGCATTTTTTTTCAGGGGGGAAGAGGGTATGCCAGTTGAACCAAAAACCAGGCTTTCTCTTTTATTCTCCCGTCTGTGACCCTGCCTTTTCTTCTGAAGTGCAATTTTGATATTATACCATTTTTTCAGGTTGAATCACCTATTTGTATATTGCAAATGATACATCACAGAAAATCCATCAATCAATTGACGATTTTCATTCCGCACTTCTTATATTATTTTTATATCAAAATTACGAGATATTCCTTATCATTATTGTCTGTTTTAATTGTTCAGTTGCATCTTGAAATTGATTAACATTTGTTTCCTAGTACGGTTCTTACCATAATTTCAAATACAATAAGCTTACAAATACCTTTGGGAACAAAGTAAAATAAAGATGAGGCATGATGTACAGCTTTTATATGATGCTTTGGGTTATTTCGGAAATGTGAGATACGTGAAAAAGCTACATTTCGATTAAGAATACAATGTTAAAAGTAAAACGTCCATGAAATACACGATTGTTTCGAAATTCCAAAATGCCCGAAACCTATTAGTTTACAGTTATAACAACTTTCCCTTTGTTTACGTATAAACTCGCTGAGCGCGTTTTATTTCATTCATTACATTTATTCATTTCATGTTTTTCCACAATATCAGCAAATGCAATTCATAAAGCTTTTTGTTCTTACAAGTCATTCCAATTAAAATATTAACGAACGAGAAATATACATAATATGGTATATGCAATGCAATAAAAGTATACAGTTGATACTAAGAAGATA